TGAAGCGTCAGAAGACATTGACTAAGCAAGGAAGTCCATCAATATCAAAATATTATGGAACAATGAAACAACTTTGAGATCAGTATGATCAACTGCATCCAATACCAATGATTGAAGGTGCTGTGGGAGAATTGGTTTGCAAAAGAGAAGAAGAAGACAGATCTATGGAAATACTGATGGGGCTCAATGAAGTGTATGAGTCAGAAAAGAACCAAATCTTATTCATGGATCCATTGCCAACAGAAGAGATAGTTTACATTCTCTTGTTAAAAGCTGAGTCAAATCGAAAAGTGAGTACTAATATAGTAGCAAGTGATGAGAATGTGGAAATGCTTGCCAAGATTCCTAAATGGAGGAGGAGCAATGTGAATCAACCAAAACTGATGCAAAAATAAGAGAAGCATGTTTGTTCTTATTTTCATAGAGAAGGTCATCTAAAGGATGAATTCTATAAACTGAAGGGATATCCAGCTAATAAAGCATTCAAGAAGTGCACTTACTGTCAGAGACCAGGCCATCTCAAAGAAGAGTGTTTCAAGATCAAAAGGTTTCCAGAGTGGTGGCCAAAGAAACCAAGTCAGGGTCATAATGTAAACCAGGTGGATACTCCAATAGAAATGGAATTTGGGGAAGGTACTTTTATGCAGCAACAAGTTCAGAGAATTTGTAGTCCATGATTGTGGCAATACAAAAGGAAATAGACAGATTGAGCAGAGGGAAGGATATTACTGAGCCTGTTGCAGGACACTTGGTGAACATTGCACATTTTCATGATCTTGCAGGTAGCACCACTATATCTAAGCTTAGTTCTTTTGTTTCTGGTGGTTATTAGTCCTAGAGCTTGGGGAACTGATACAGAGGCAACAGGACATATGTGCAGTAGCCTTTCTTTGATGCATCATATTACATCATCAGAAAACTTTACACCTATTCTATTACCAGATGGCACTGTTAAATATGTTACACACTTTGGCGATGTGCAAATTTCAGAATCCTTTACTCTTACTTCATGTATGCATGTGCCAAGCTTTCAGTATAATCTGCTTTCAGTCAGAAAACTAGCTAAGAAATCAAATTTCTTCTTCCAATTCTATGTTAACTTTTGTCTGCTATAGGACCTTAGTACAAGAAGGGTCCTGGCAGCTAGCAAAGTCATCAAGGAGCTTTATATTCTGGATGAAAGTTCTTTTAAACCTCAAGCCATACATCAATCACAAGAATTCTATGCCTCTTATATGTTGCATAATAGATTTACCTGTAATAAATCCAATCAAAATGTATCTAACAATAGTGCCTGTGCTGCTGTTGTTTCAGCTAAACTTCGACATTCAAGATTAGGACATCCATCCTATTCAGTTTTAAATCATCTCGTAAATACTTGTGATCTTCCTTGCACCTCCATTGGTGTTGAGCAGAAAGATCTTGAGCAATGTAGAATTTGTCCACTTTGTAAACGATGCAGATCAGTTTTTCCACTGAGTTCTATAAAAATCCAAATTCTGTTTTGAGTTATTGCATCTTGATGTATGGGAACCTTACAAATATAAAAGTCTTACAGGTTGTCAACATTTTTTTACTATAGTTGATGATCACAGTAAGGCCACTTGGACAATCCTGTTTCAGTATAAATCAGAAGTTCCTTCTTTGATCACTCATTTCTTAAAGATGATAGAAAATCAATTTCAAGCCAAGGTTAAAGGCATTCATACTGATAATGGTACAGAATTTGTTAATACCACATGTCATTCTTTGTTTCAAAACCTTGGCATCATTCATCAAAAAACTTGTCCTTGCACACCACAACAGAATGGCGTAGCTGAGAGAAAACACAGACACTTATTATAGGTTGCAGGATCACTCCTCTTGCAGTCAATGTAGCCAAAACAATTCTGGGAGTAATCATTACTTACTGCTACTTTTCTCATCAACAGAATTCCTACACCATTGTTAGATTGGAAAACACCTTTTGAAGTATTCTACAATCAAAAACTAGTTTTTACTCATCTTTGTACATTTGGTTGTCAGGCTTATGCCATTAATAATGGACCAGGGAGACACAAGTTAGACACCAGGTCTTTCTCTGGCATATTTGTTGGTTATCCCCATACACATAAAGGTTACAAAAGTTACTGCCCTTCTTTGAAGAAAATTGTCATTTCCACGGATGTCTTGTTTTATGAAGATGTGTTTCCTTCAGTTTCTAATGAACATCATGACTGCATAATTACTCACGTTCCTTTTCCAGATGAAGAACCACCTATCTCTTCTCACTCTAATCCATTATCATATAATGAAGATCACTCAGAGTCTTCTTTTACTCCTCCTTTCTCATCTTCTCCCTCCAATGATCTTTCTCATTCTTCCTCTGATTCTGCCATTCCTTCATCTTCATATTCATCTGTTCCTACTTATTCACCACCACCATTAAGAGTTAGTAACATAATCAACAAAAACCACTCCACTTATAAGATTTTGAGACAAATTTTTCCTGTCTTGCACCTTATACTAGTGTTTTACCTTCTGATTTTAATACTTGTTTTTCTACATCATATAAGTCTTTTGTTGCCAATGTGTCTAATTCCTTAGAGCCTAGTACTTACAACCAGGCCAGAAATAATCTTAAATGGATAGATGCTATGCAACAAGAACTGCAAGCTTTAGAACACAATGATACTTGGGATTTGACTAAATTACCTGCAGGAAAGAAAAATGTAGGTTCTAAATGGGTATATAAAATAAAAAGACATGTTGATGGCTCAGTTGATAGGTATAAAGCACGTTTGGTGGCAAAGGGATATACTCAAGTTGAAGGTGAGGATTTCTGTGAAATTTTCTCTACCGTGGCCAAAGTTGTTACAGTTTGTTTGTTGTTTGCTATAGCTGCTTCCAAGTCCTGGACAATGCATCAATTAGATGTCAACAATGCTTTTCTACATGGCACTTTAGAGGAAGATGTTTATATGTTACCTCCTTTAGGGTATGAAAGAGCTCAACCAGGTTAAGTTTGTAAGCTAAAGAAGTCCTTATATGGCCTAAAGCAGGCCTCACGTCAGTGGAACTTAGAGTTTTCTTCCACATTGTCTTCCTATGGTTTCAATCAATTATACCATGATCCATGTCTTTTTATGCATATCACTCCTGAATTTCAGCTCTTTCTACTTGTCTATGTTGATGATGTTGTGATCACTGGCACTGATGAGCATCAAATTCAGAAAGTGAAAGACTTCTTACATGCCAAGTTTTCAATCAAGGACCTGGGCCATGCTAAGTACTTCCTAGGCATGGAAATAGCTCGTTCTACTTCAGGGATCTACATTTGTCAGAAGAAATACACCATGGATCTCCTCAGCTCAGCTGGTCTGTAGGATTTTCAGGCACCTGCTACCCTTTTTCCTCCTGGATTGAAGTTTCCTTCTGATGATCATGATTCTACTCCTCTATTCTCCAATCCAGCATCTTACAGGCGCCTTGTTGGGAAACTTTTGTATCTCAATTATACTCATCCAGATATTACACATGTTGTCCAAATGTTGAGCCAGTATGTTCAGAAGCCCAGAGAATCTCATTGGACCGTGGCTCTTCATGTCTTGAAGTATCTCTCTGGTACTTTGGGACGTGGTCTTTTCTACTCTTGTTCCTCTTCTTTATCACTCACTATTTTTAGCGATTCTGACTAGGGTGCTTGTAAACTAGTCGCCATTCTTTAATAGGCTATTGTGTCTTCTTAGGCACACACTTGGTTTCATGGAAGACCAAGAAGCAAAGCACCATCTCCTGCTTCTCTGCTGTAGCTGAGCATAGGGCAATGGCTGCTGCTACCAGAGAATTGCAATGGATCTCCTATGTTCTTCATGATGTTTAGATTCCAGTTGCATTTCATGTTCCTTTCTATTATGACAGTAAAGCTGCTTTGGAGATCACCGCCAATCCCGTCTTCCATGAATGCACCAAGCACATTGAAATTGATTGTCATGTTGTGCGGGATCAATATAAGAATGGTTTTCTTCTTACATTGCATGTTAACACCTCTGATCAAGTTGCTGATTTCTTCACCAAGGCGTTACCTGCTTCTTCTTTTCAGTATTTGCTGTCCAAGCTGAGCCTTTGGAATACTCAGCTTGAGGAGGGGGTGAAGAAGAATAATGTGACTTCAGCTGGAAACAACTCTTCTACATGTATGGAAGCTAAAACGATCTTGCTGGGTTTCGAACACAAGATCTTCTACTTGGTTGCTGATCAGGAAAGAAGCTGTCAGAAAGTTTCTAATTCGAGTCCTCAAGCTGTAAATAAGTAGTAGTTAAGGCGGTTACGTTTTAGATGAGTCGGTTCCGCATTTCTATATATATGTGTACATAGCAACACGATGAAAGCAGATTATTCAGATCAAAAATAAAATTCTTTGTTGTTTTTCATTAGTAAAAAGAGAGAAGGCTTTCTCGAAGGTTCTTGTTTTCCCGCTCTTTTAGTTCTTTCAATTCGTAGAATTTCTTGATGAATCTCGATCATTTTCTTCGGTTATGGATAATTCTCACTGTTGCTTGAGAAAGCAAGATTTCAATTCTCAACCTGATGCAGTTCCAGTGCAGCAAACTCAATATTAACCACAATTCCAAATTGCCTCCGTCTTATCCCCCAATAACACCCACTGGCGGCTATCTCCGATTCATCCAGTATACTAATACTAATCCGAGTTCTGTTCCAAATGATTCCCCTGTCTCTCAAAACTATCCTGAATCAATCCCACAAAATGATAATTCGAATCCTCTTCTATAGGGCCCATATCCTCCGTCAACTACTACTCCACCAACCTTGCCGAATTCCTATATGAAGTCAATATTCTTCAATATCCACCAACTGAAAGTTCTTCAGCCGCGATTAACTTGCCGGAGTCAACTAGTAGTTGCATCCAAGAAAAATCTCCACCCAATCCGGTGACAGAACCCGCAATTCCACAAGTACCTGAATCCCAAAGCTATTTCAACCTCCACAAATCAGGTTCCATGCCCTTAGAAATACGTCATATTTTCCACCTTGATCAGCCTCTCAAACTGCTACCTAAGCCCCCTTCTCATTACCAATACAATCAGTTCACTTGTGATGCTTGTCGCCAGAATGGGACTGGGTTTGTTTACAATTGCTCCAAGTGTTCGTTTGATCTTCATGTTGATTGTACTTCATTGCCCGAAACTGTTATTCGAAAGGATTATGAGCATCCTCTGAAGCTACTTTACTCTAATCCTTTTCGAAACACAGAGTTCATATTTATATGCAATGTGTGTGGAGCTTCGGTAGACGAGAATGCTTGGGTTTACTATTGTCGTGATTGTGATTTTGGAACGAATGTCGAATGCGCTTACGTTGAAGTTCAACGCGGAGCTGAGAATACTGAAGAAGGATCATTTCGTACTCTTGAGGAAGCCCAAGAAGCACTTCGAATAAGAGCGGAAATTAGGGAGTTTGCCCTTAATGACATTTGGGATGATAAAGTATACAAATACAGGTACTATTTACGGGGGGGAAAAATCCGATAATCACCCCGGTGAAAGGTTGTGTTTACAAAAAGCCAGCGAGAGTTCTAGCTTGGTTAAATTTGCCATTATTTTTTACCGAGTTTGTTTTATTTTTTGCGATGTAATTTCTGCAGTGCTTTTACCTTTTAAGCTTGGATGCGCCAAAAGGATTCCACATCCCATTGTAAGAATTTTTTTGGCTTAATCAACGTTGTGTGATATGTGTTTGTAAAAATAAAAAAATAAAAAAAAATTAAAATAATAAACATTTTTGTCCTATATATATTTCCGAATAATTTTTGTAGTCCATTGCCTTTGCATTGCATTTCGTTTAGTCACTTATTAATCTGGAATTGTTATAAAATATTTGATTTGATTTAATTGAATGTTCATAATTAACATGTATTATTCTATTTACAATCAAATAGATATAATTCTGTAATATTTATCGTTAATGATAGGTGATTGATATTCCACAGTTTGATCCTCTAATTCTTGTATAAATAGAGAGCTCATTCATGTTTCAAAAGGCATCTCAATACAAGTTCCTTATCTCTCTAAGCTCTTGTCTTCTCTCTCAATACAAGTTTTTTTTTTTTCCTTCTGTTTTTGTTTAAAAATCTAATTTTATTGAAATGCAGACAGAGATTAGGGAACTACTTCAAGGACCTTCGATGGTTTGAGTTATGCCTTTGTCATAGGCTTTCAAAACGTTTAATTTTTTATTATGTGATCGGTTGATCGCAATTCTTCGTACGGCTAGGACTCTGGGGTATCTAATCCAATGCATAAAACGTTTTTTTTTTTTCCTTTCTAATTTTAACCAAGTTTCAGGAGTTTATCGGAAGAAAAGAATGAAGTTTATCTTTTGATGAATCACAAAGAACACTAATTCGATATTCTTTCTCTCCTTTTTTTATAGATACTATCACTTCTTCTTCCTTTTTTGTTTTTTGGGCTAATCGATCTACTTGGTTTATGTTATTAGGACAGTCATTTGGGTTATGGAATGAAATTATACCAATGCAACTTTGTTTTTGGTGTTGCAGATTGGAAACTTTTGGAATTTTCATAACAATCTGATTTTTTTTTTCCTAACAGAATGACATAAGTTTTGAGATCAAAATTTGCCACTGAATCTAACCAAGGTGAAGTTCTAAAGTGAGTTCATTTTCTTTTTCTTTTTCCCCCCTTTTTTTTGGCTGTCAATTATGGTTATGTGTTATGAGATTACGGATATTGATAATTGACCTGATCATTGTTTCTTTTTTCTTTTTATTTTTAAATTTTTTTGGTTTTTGTTTGGTGGTATACAAGTTAACAATTCCGGACTTTTCAAGAACTCCATCATAGGTAGTAGTTATACTATAGTTTCATTGGCCATGGTCTTTTATGAATTTTATAAGTAGTCATTGGAAAGTATTTTGACATCAACTAAGTTCCTTTTTTTTTCTTTTTTTTTTCAACTGCACAAATTATCTCATCATTTTAATTTTTTTTTAATTTTATTAAACAAAATTTAACTTAATAATGATATAATGTCATATTAAATCAATTTTCAAAAAGATGCGGCCAAACATTGCTCGAGTTTAGAAGGAGTTGATTGTTGGGAAGAAACTTTTTAAGTACACTGATGTATCATGAACAACTTTTTCATGCAGACGAGAAAAGCAAAAAAGAGCATTGAAACCTGCAAGATTTACATCTTTAAGTTCCAAGACAATTTCATTCTAACATTTGTATCTCAAACAAGTCTATGGGCATCATGAACAACTTCTTCAAAGATATCTTTGAGAAGCTAGCTTGGGAAGCTTCTAGACTGGGGAGGTACAACAAGAAACCACCTTACTTTCAATAGAGTTTTGAAATTTGTACTACAACTCAATGTAAACTATTTTTTTAAGACTGAACAAGTATATTTAAAGGCACCTTTCTACGCAATCTCTCATGTATTTTTTGACAATCTTTATTTCACACCAATAATGTCGGATAAATTTCACAATCCGCTCAACGTGCGGGGCACCTACTAACAATTATATTATAATACAAAATATCACAGAAAATCTCATGTCATTATAAGAACAAATGTATAGAGTTTTATTTATTGGCAGAACGAAGGAAGAACAAGTTTAATAGAAAACAAAACTTATACAAGCGCTAATTGCGATATGAAAACATTAATGTAGTCCCTGCTTTTAAAATGCACCGCCTTACTTTGCGTACTAATCTGTAAAGAGTTTCTTTTATTAATCAACATTTTACAATAAAAGTGTCTTAACTCGGACCTCGTGTGGCAATGCCATGTGATCACATTTATTTTCACATCTTTACCAAAATCGAACCCATGTGACGCTGATATTATTTTCGCAGGGAATATAATATACATGTATCCATTGCAAATGGAGCTGTAAGAGTTATTATTGACAATTCTTTCAGTTTTGTATTAATAATGGATTAGATGAAAATGAGTCATTTAAATTCCGACGCTTCTTAATTTAGTGAAGTTGCCGGAAATCAATATATCAATGCACCAATGTATCTTGGGTCTTTACGAAAGAGAGAGAGAGAAACTAACTGTTTTAGTGTCGTTTTAATGTGGGTCTTTACGAAATGCCAGTACTAAATTTCTTGGGATAGAAGCTGTCCCTTGAAAATTAAGTATTTCTCTTATCTCAAAAGAAATACACTGAATTCAGATGTGTCATTTGATGTCTGGTGCAAACCTTGTGAACGCCCATGGTTATTTGGGGAATTAATATATTCTGATCTCAAGCTAGCATAAAATACATGCAGTTTAATAACTAATTGGAAGACTTTGCTATTTGAGTATGTAAGTCTACTCGTGAACACGGGATGACTTACAGTGTTTCTCATTTGACTAATTAGTTCACATTCATTGGAATCTTAACACGATTAATTGCAAATAATGGCGGTGGATTTGTCTATTGCAACTATGAGTAGACTTTCTAATTTGTTGTTTATGCTAACTTCCACAGAGAACATCAATCCAAATTTAGGAAGAGATTCTGCACTAATTATACATACACATACACACCCATCATTTTCTGTCATCCTCCTGAAATTCAAAAGTAAAAAACACAAACATTTAAACAGCTTCCCATAATTTCTAGGCAGAAGTGAGAGCTTGTTATTTGAAAGTAATGGAGAACAAGCACTTTAGCCATGTTCATGGCCTGGTTTATCACCAAACCCAACAAGGAGCCGACGTTCAATGTTCCGGCTGCAAATTTCCAGCTTCCGGCAACATTTACGCTTGCTGGCAATGCAGTTTTTTCCTTCACGAGCAATGCTTTCATGCAAGCCGATCACTAAAACATCCTTCCCACCCAACTCATCCGTTACACTTATCTCCATATCCAACTTATCCCACAAATTCTTTCTGTTGCGACTCTTGCAATCTTGTCGGAAATGGCTTTTGTTATTGCTGTTCTGAATGCGGATTTGACCTTCACATTCACTGTGCTTTAAAGTCCAATCCAGTTCCTCCATCCCTGCCTAAAAATGCTTCCCTTATTTCTCCCAACCCTGATTTTTCGAAACTAAATCTTGGAGAGAATCAAGATTATAATCCCCAACCTGCGATTCCGGTGCAACAAACTCAGAATATTAATCATATTGCTAACTTTCCTCCGCCTTATCCCCCACCGGCAATCGAAACAGGCGGCAACTATCAATCCAGCAACCATCATAGTAGTACTTACCCGAATCCTCTGCCACCAAATAACTCCCCTGTTTCCCAGAGCTATCCTGGATCAATCCCACAAAATCGTACCCCAAATCCTCCTCTAAACAGCCCATATCCTCCATCGGTTACCAGTCCAACAAATTTTCCTAATGGCTATCCAGAAGTCAATATTAAACCACATCCTACAACTGCGAGTTCTTCTGCCGGATCTACTTTTCCGGCAACAAGTATTACTAGCAGCCAAGAAAAATTGCCTCCCAATCCGGAGACAAGTGCTCCAAACGTGAAGGAGGTAAAACATTTCAGCCATCCACATCTTCTGAAGTACATTGAAATTGCAAGAAGTGATGAAAAAGTGTGTTCTGGCTGTGAGAACTATCTTGTTGGCTCAGCTTACACCTGCATTGAAACCGAATGCAACTTTAACCTTCATAAATCCTGTTTCGAATCGCCATTAGAAATTCGCCATAGTTCCCACCCAGATCATCCCCTCAAACTTCTTGCTAAGCCCCCTTCTCATTACTTCAACAATCAGTTCACTTGTGACGGTTGTCTTCTCAAGGGGGCAGCATTTGTCTACAATTGCACCAAGTGTTCATTTGACATTCACGTGAATTGTGTTTCGTTGCCCGAAAGCATTATCCGGCAAGAACATGAGCATCCCCTGAAGCTACTTTACTCTACTCCTGTTCTAAATAATGGTGTTTTTATATGCGGATGTATGTCGGGCTAAGATGAATCGAAATAATTGGGTGTATCATTGTCGTGAGTGTGATTTTGGCGCTCATCCGAGATGCCCTCCATTTGATTATCGGCAAGCAGCGCTTGAGATTGAAGGAGCTGCCATGGGTTATAGGTTAAAAGCTCGAGCAATGCAAACTTGCATTGATCTTATTGATGGAAGCCATACAACATACGAATACAAATACAAATACAAAAATGATTACATATAATCGCACTATAGAAAAAGTTAGTGACGCGATGCCTCTTTATCAAAATGATTATCCTGTTTAGTTTTACACGTTTACTAATCCAAATGGAACAAGTATTTTAATTGTATTGGAGCTTTATGTCTTTTGTAATGCATAATTTCTCTTGTTTCGGTATTCTAGTTTCTCTTTTTAAGTGGAATTGAGTTGATTGCACTGGAGCTTTGATGGATGTTTGAGCGTTGAAGGGATTAGCAGACAATTTTCATCCAGTTATGAATTTCAAACTGTTAGACAATTTCTCTTTTTCTTTTTTTCTTGTTTTCTCAAATCGAGATAATAGATTGTCCTTGGTTTATGAAATGAAATGACCATTAATGTAGTCCCATACCTTTCAAAAGGCTTCTCGTTAATTAGTCATTTCTTGATTGAAATTATCATGAAATAATGCCATTTACAAATAGACATTTAAAATCGAGCTACGGGTTGGGGCGAAGAAATTGGATCTAAGGAGACAACGATACCAAATTTGCCACAGGGAGGTCATTCTTTCTCAAGTACATTTTTGGCTGAACAATTCATTTCTTTTTTGAGGCACACAAAAAATCGTAATTGCAAGTAACTTTATATTAATATATATATATATATATATATTTTAAAAAAAATCACTCAGTTGACCCTACTCAAATGTGGGTAAAACCCCCTTACAACCCGTGGTAGTAATCGAACCCTGATTTATTATCAGGAAGGACATTAACCTAACCACTGAACTGTTATTCAATTCCCACTTTATATTAATATTCACTTGACTTGGAACAGTACTTATGGATTTTCAGACTGCAACACGATATTTGTTAAATAGAGTCATCGCCATCTACAATCAGTTGATCTGCTATTAAAGTAACACTTTCAAATTCATATCTGCTCCCCCTATCTATGGGATTTTAAAAAAAATTCAAATTAAAATAAATAAATACAGACTTCAAAATCAATTCTTATTGGGTTCATGCTCATCAATCATCCATGTGATTTTTCCTAATCGTAATTATCATGAAATAATATGCCTTCTACTTAATTATATGACATCTAAAATTTTCTACAAAAGACGGTTTCGGTTTCAGCTTGGCAAAGCTCAAGATCGAAAGTACATGGTGCTATGCTTGGCTTATATCGTTAATGTCTTATACTCCCTCCGTCCCAAAATTATTATTTAGTTTGGATTTTCATTTCTAGTATAAATTATACTAAAAGTGAAAATTCAAAGTGTACAATAATTATAAGACGGAGGGAGTATCAATTACGGTGCGGACAGGATATATTAATGATACTACTATTTTATTTCTAAAAAAATATGACTTCAAAGTTAATCCTTTAGGCAAGATAAAATGAACTACGATCATTTTGTGGTTCCCTGTTAAAACCCCTTTTGAACTTACAAAACAAGTGAAAGACACTTGTCCCATATTGGAGTTGGGAAGCCTACTTGATCAACATATATACCTCATATGTTACTTTCCTCATTTCTAATTGATTTTGAGGTGGAACGACCTTTGGGCTATGAGCCTTCAAGATGGTATTAGATTAGGTTTTAATCCGGAGAATTTGTGGGTGGACTTTAACCGACCCGGCCTATTTTCCGAGACAAAATAAAAAACCCAAAATGGGTCTTCAAACAAACTAAAAATCTTGAAATCGGCCTTCAAACAAACCAAAAACCCGAAATAGGCCTTTAAAACAAACCAAAGCCGAAATGGGCCTTAAAAACAAAAAGAAATTCAATAGTTTAAAGGGGCCTTGTCCAATCCCTTTGGGCTTGAGAGGGAGGTGTAAAAATCCCTTTGAACTTACAAAATAAGTGAAAAACACTTGTCTCACATTGCCAATTAATTTTGAGGTGGAAATATAAATGGACTTATATGGGTCTTCAAGATACAGAGAGAGAACAAAAAAGGCACTGATTTTAATATCAAATGAATTAGTTTTTTAAATTACATAAATATTTCAGAGGAACCGCGTCAAATCTTGAGATTGGCATTGACTTGGTATGATAGAGAATAGAATTCTCAGTCATTTTCTATAGTCTGAACTCTAAGGGACAAAACAAACAGATCCATATCTATCAAATTGAGATAATTAGTGTGATCGATGTGTCCCTTGACATTTAAAGAAATTATTAGACACTATATTAATGTAATTACCATTGTAATTATTAATAGTCTAGGGTTTCTGTAACATTTGTATGAAAGCACATACAGGATCAATGAAAAAACTAATCCTTTCGGCCAACTTCTATATGGTATCAGAGCGGGCTCGGTTTGTGGTGATTTTAAGCTCAGGATGTTATTCCGTAGCTCAATTTAAGTCCGCAGCGTTATTCCGCGGCCCGTGATGTTATGCCACCATTTATTTCTTGACTCTGTTGATTTAGTACAAGCCCAACAGGGGGAGTGTTGAAGTATTTATCCCACATTGGTGTCTGGAGATACTTTGTATCAGTATATAATCTTCATGGGCTACTCCCTATTACCAATTGATTTTGAGGTGGAACCCCATGAGCTTCTATATGGTATCAGAGAGCTAGTTTTTTATTTTTAAAAAAAACCCTAATTCATTTTGTTTTCTCTCAGCCGCCGATCAACTTTTCCGGCCTTTTCTTGCTGTTTTCCTGTGATTTTTCGCTGCTAACTTGACAACATGGGCGACAAAACCCCAGTCACCTCACTTGTTACTGAGGAAACAGATTCTTCCTGAGGCCAAAACTCCAGCCAAATAGTTTTGACTATGGATACCAAATCGCCATTTTATGTTCATCCGGCGGATCAACCCAGCCATCAATTTGTTACCACCCCGCTTGCTAAGAACGGGGATAACTACTTTACCTGGAGAAACAATCTTTTGACTGCCCTTCAATCCGAAAACAAGGCGGTTTTGCGGATGGCAGTACCAAACGTCCTGACGTGAAATCTGGCGACTACCAGCAATGGATCCAATGTAATGCACAGAACAAGTCGTGGCTGATGAACTCCCTCTGTAAAGGGTTGCAGATAGCCGCCGCCCACACTGAAAGAGCCATCGAAATATGGAGTGATTTGGAGGAGCGATTCACTCAGGTTTGGCTGCCAGAGCTTACGAATTGAAGCGGTCTGTCGCTTTGCTGCAGGAGGAACGAATGCAGATGCCGATCTATTATGGAAAGCTCAAGGGGATCTCGAACGAATTGCAGAATCTGAGGCCTCCTCCCAGGTGCTGTTGCACCGGATGTACTTCCAATGCTAGTGATCGCCTCAAATCCATGCAAGAAGAGGAGAGATATTTGACTTTTTAATGGGTTTAGATGATACTTACAAGACGAATACAACAAAAATGGACTATTAATAACTTTATAGTGTGACACTTTTTCTAAAATGTGTCTCATTATATGTGTATTAGGACATTTGCTAAAATGTGTCTTATTAAAAATGAAAAAGTGTATGCATATTATGAAACACTATCATAAGTGTACTATGTGGGGTTGCTTGTGAACTATTACCCTACTTAATGGGTCACTTTAAAATGTCTTAATAAGTGACAATCTAATAATACACTTTCAAATGTTTTATGACTTATTGTGACACGATTATAGGAGACACTATTTAGAGTGTCCCACGCAATGTGAATCACATGTGTCCTATTACACCACTTATTGAGACACAAAAAAGTGTCTAAACTACTCATTTTTATTGTAGTGCTATTAGGTCTCAGATTCTCAGCATGGAGCCCTTGCCAACGTTGGGGAAGGCTTTTTCCATGGTGGCGTCCGATGAAAAGCAACGAAGCATTGTTGATTCTTGACTCCCAGCTGTTGAAGCGGCAAGCTTGATGGCGAAGTTGACTGTTGCTGCTGCTGGACGTCGGGACAATTGGAATTAGCCTGGCGATGGAACCAGATTTTGCACTCATCACAAAAAAGTAATTACAACAAGGAAGCTTGTTTCGAACTTGTTGGATACCCAGCTGGATGGAGACAGCCGCGACAGAAATCAGCAGCCGCAAAGCCAGTCAACACTGAGGTGGATCCTTTTGTGTTTGTTGCTGTTAGTGAGCAAGGTGTGCCAGCTGCAACCCTTTCTCAAGCGCAGGTCTAGCAGCTGATCACACTTCTTGGAGGTCCACAGTCAGCTTCTTCGGCCAATACTTCCGGCCAGGTTTCTGGTGAGGCCGATCCTTGGGATGCCGATTCCGGTGCCATACACCATGCCTCAAATGACATTCGGTTGATGACTGATTTATTGCCTTGTGATAGTAGCTATATTCATATTTCAAATGGTGTTCGTGTGCCTGTCTGGGCCATTGGGACGATTAAATTAGATAAAAATTTGATTCAAGATGTTTTAGGAGTGCCAAATTTTCAATTTAATTTATTATCCGTCAATAAATTGACGAGAGACTTGAATTGTTTTTTTACAATTGGGCCTGATTTTTGCTTCATACAGGACTTAGCCTCAAGGAAGCAGATTGGAGTGGGTAGGATGCGCAAGGGCCTCTACTATTTGGAACCAATGAGGGGTGGCGATGGGAAGCAAGTGAAGCGAGTGTTGGTTATCCGAAAGAGCAATACAACATCTTTGTGGCATCAATGCTTGGGACATTTGCCGATAAGCCGTCTTTCTTTGGCGCCAAATATTTCAGTTGATTTTAATTCCTCTAGTGGTTTTGTATGTTATGAATGTTGTAGAGAAAAACACACTAGATTGCCATTTCCTTTACATCAGAATAAATCGTTTAATGTTTTTGATTTGATACATTGTGATGTTTGGGGTCCTTATCAAACACCATCAAAATCTGGAGAAAATATTTTCTTACAATTGTGGATGATTGTAGTAGGGTCACTTGGGTCTTTCTCATGCGACAAAAATCGGAAACTAAGCGATATTTGCTAATGTTTTTCAATTGGGTGCATACTCAGTTTAAAACTAAGGTCCAAGTATTTCGAACAGATAATGGCCTTGAATTTAGTCATACTACTCTATTGACTCATTTCTTTGATAATGGCATTGAAAGACAAACCAGTTTTCCATATACTCCTTAACAAAACGGGATAGTAAAATGAAAACATCGTCATATGCTTGAAGTGGCAAGAGCCCTACGCTTTCAAGGAAAATTACCAATTAGTTTTTTGGGAGAATGTGTCCTTACTGCTACTTATTTGATTAATCACATGCCTCTATCTGTGTTGAATAATCGGACACCTATGAGATTTTGTTTGGATGTAAACCTTCTTATGGTCATCTACGTAGTTTTGGATGCATGTGTTATGCACATGTTCTGTCTCAAACTCGAGATAAATTTGCATCTAGGAGTCATCCTTGTGTGTTTGTTGGTTATCCACATGGTCAAAAGGATTACAAGGTTTATGACTTAGATCGTAAGGTGATTTATACGTCCAGAGATGTTCAGTTTTTTGAGGATATTTTTCCTTATGCAATGATGTCTAAGTCGGCAGAAACAATTCTGGGACATGGCCATTCCCATTCATTACTAGATTATACTTTGGATCATTTTCCTGTTTCAGATAAAGCAGATATTTCCACGACTCCTGATCACTCAGAGTAGAATTTATCATAATCAGACTCTCCACCCTCTTCTGACAGTTCTACATCTGATGATTTGACCTCTCCACTCCCATCTACATCTTCTGTGATACCGCCACTTCCAGACAGACAAGTCCGCCAAGTCTCCCGACATCTCTCTGGTTATGATTACACATTGCCACCCTCATTGCTTCCTACTACTCAAATGCCATCCTCCTCCACTCCATCAGCTAACTCGACGGTATATCCTCTCTCTCAGACTTTGTGTCTGGGAATGATTCAGCCAAGATTGCGAAACTTAAGGGATATCTACATGGTGAGTTTCACATTAAAGATCTTGGTCTACTTAAGTATTTCTTGGGCACTAAAGGTGCACGATCTTCTTCTAGCATTGCTCTTAGCAAGTGCAAATATGCTCTAGATATTCTCGCAGAGTGTGGTCTTACAGGTTGTCGACCTTGTTTTACTCCAATGGAGCAACAACATCGACTAGATCCTGATTCTGGGGAACTTCATGATGATCCTGGACAATATCGACGTATTGTTGGTCGCCTTCTATATTTGACGATCACACGTCCTGACATCAGTTACGCTGTCCATATTCTTAGTCAGTTCATGCAGCAACCACGACAGCCTCATTATGATGTTGCGATTTGAATGTTGCGTTATCTGAAGAATGCACCTGGTCAATACATTTTTCTTCCTTCTGATAATTCTTTGTGGTTACGAGCATATTCTGATACAGATTGGGCAGGCTGCCCAACTACTCGACGATCTACTGTAGGTTTCATGGTGTTTCTAGGATCTTTCCCGATTTCTTAGCGGTCTACGGTTTTGCTCTGAATTGCAAGTGTCATTCACTGATCTTGTTCCTCTCTACTGTGACAATCAAGCAGCAATCCATATTACTGCTAATCCCGTGTTTCATAAGCGCACAAAACACATAGAGATCAATTGTCATTTTGTTCGACAATATTTTCAGTCCAATCTTTTGATCCCTCACTTTATTTCTTCTCAAAACCAATTGGCGGATTTTTTCACTAAAGCTTTGGACCGTGATCAGGTTCATACGTTGTTGAGCAAGTTGGGCATAGTAAATTTATATGCTCCAACTTGAGGGGTAAAGAAATTACTAGACAGTATACTAATGTAATAACCATTGTAATTATTAATAGTTTAGGATTTCTGTAATATTTGTATAAAACACATACAGGACCGATGTGGCCAGCTTCTTTAACATTTTCGCAGGAAACTTGATACTTTCTTATACTTGAAGACTTGAAGTAAATAGAGTCCTTTATGTTTGTAAAGATATATATTATTACTTTTCATTATTTTTATTGCTAACCTGAATCCTTTGGTAAATAAAATGAGTCATTTAGAGAACACTGATGGAGTTTAGGAGCTCCTTGCTACGCTGGATTGTACACAAGAATTAAAAAATGACATCATGACAAGCACGTACACATGTAGCTAAGCCGCACATAATCTTGGAATATTGGAAATACAGCTTGAAATATTGGAAACATTTACTTCTGATCATTTTCGCTTAGTTTATAGTTACATGTGGAATTTAGTATTATCTCATGTTTTATTACCAAAGTACTCCCTCCGGTACTAAGGCATTTTGATTTGTCATAAGTTTCATCTAGTATATATTTTTCCAATTAAGAAAAAAATTAAAAATACATTTTCTCATTCATTATATTTTCCTAATCATTAATAAACACTTTTAAAAAAAAATTTCTTAACCCAAAAAATGCACTAGGTGAAATCTATGATAAATCAAAATATCTTATAATAAGAACCGGAAGGAGTATTACTTGTTTGTTTGATTCCACGAGTAATATTTGTTCATTTAGTTAATTTTTTTCGGGCGTTTCTTGTGTAGTTTGCCCCAACGTAAGTGCATTATTTGCAAATCTAATTCTATTTTAAAATTGCTGCTGCCATTAAAGAACAAATGATCCAAAGTCAATTGTGGGACAAAGTAAAGGGAATTTGTGATAATATTGTGGTTCCCGACAAAACAAAAATGTACTTCTTGTTTTCACATTTTTTTAATTGAAGTTTTATATTTTATTTTTTGTCTATTGTTAGAAAAAGTCCCTATGACTTGGATAACAACCACAGGATTTTCGAAAAAGGATAACAACACAGAGAGTAGACTTTGCTTTTTTTTTTTCTTTTTCTTTTTTCTCAATATACACCACCTCCCAGAACTTTGAAACCAATTTTGAGATCACCACATGGTTCTTTCACTATTTAATCTGGTGAATTTGTCATTTACCTTTTATATGTGTAGTAATCGATCGTTCATCAAGCCATTTATTTGCTAATTAGTTGAATGGGAGGGTGATATTAGAAAATCATCATTCCAGCGTTAAATACGAATTGTTGGCTTTAAAATTTCCGTAATGATTTGAACAAATTGAGATGATGGCCCTGATCCGAAAACCAAATATCAAGTTAATTTGCGAGAAGACCATAGTTAAAGAGAATGATAAACTACGAATATGATGAACATAAGTATGCACACCCGCTTAAAATAATGCTCGTGTTTATCATCTATACTAAAATAACTAATATTTCTAACGAAATAAGTGTTCTGTTTAAAATTTATTTTTAATTTAATTACAATCATTTTGGAGCTCAAACTAAAAATGAAAATTCAACTTAGATAATGATTGTGAGAGGAGAAAGTAAGAAAAATAAGATAATAATTATTTTAGGAAAAAAGTATAAACTGTATAATAGTTTGCAAGTTACAACTTGGACAGAAACCGGAGGACATGTATTCCACAATGACTAAAAGTCAACTAGCTTTGCCTACAATTACATTTAGAAATTAGAACAAGCTTTTTTGCACCAATATATTTATCCTCCTTAAAAATCAAGAACAACCAACTAACAGAAACCAATCTCTTCTTCTTCTTCTTCTTCTTCTTCTTAAGTTATGCAGAACAAACATTTTAGCCATGTTCACGCCCTGGTTCATCACCAAATCCCCCAAGATGAGGAAACTCAATGTTCCGGCTGCAAACTTCCGGCGTCCGGCAAAGCCTATGCTTGTTTGGAATGCAACTATTTCCTTCACGACCAATGCTTTCAGGCAAGACGATCTTTAAGACACTCTTCCCACCCTTCTCATCCTTTGATGTTATCTTCATGTCCAACTTATCCCACCAATTCCTTCAATTGCAACATTTGCAATCTCGTCGGAAATGGCTTTTCTTATTGCTGTTCTGAATGCGAATTCGACCTTCACGTCCACTGTGCTTTAAAACCCAATCCAACTCCTCCTAATTATTCCATGCCTCAAAATCCCCCCTTTGTTTCTCCTTACCCCGATTATTCGAATTTTAATCCTGGAGTAAGGCCAGGTTTCAATCCTCCACCGTCATCAATTCCGGCCCAACAAGCTCAAAACTTTAATCCTAATAATGCCAACTTTCCTTCGATTTATGATATTCAGGAAGCTAACCGAGCAGCTGAGGCAGTTGATGCCGCTTATGCCCGAGCTCGTCTACAAGCTAGAGGCAGACTGAATGCGCTCAATTTGATATAGAAAATGTGAAATACTTCCATTAAGACATATTCATATACCTCTGAGATTGAGCTGGTTTGGTTTTATCAAGATATTGTAAAGGTCGTTTATTTTGAAACGTAGCTCCACATGGTGTTTTATCTATATATGTGTAATAAGAATTTTAAAGTGTGCTCAATTTGGCCATTTTTTTGTTTCCTTGTTTACTTTGAGCAGATGTATTCTTCTTCCTTTACATATTTGGATGGAAATAATGTTTGTGTCTCGTACCTTTTATGGTTACATTGCGATAGTCACTCACCACAAGGAGTAACTTAAAAGTTTTGAAGTTAATTACTGTTGAATTTTTTGGTCTCTTTTCTTTTCTTTTTTCTCTAACATTATTTAGTTACACATTTGATTTTAACTAAAAAAGGGGATCACGGCTGACCAAGAACTTGATAGATTAAACTTGATCTATCAAATCGTTGGTTAGCCCAAGGCTGTTAAACATCTAGCAGTACCAGAAAAAGAACATATGCAATAAGACTTCTGTTATTGTTAAAACAAATACTATCTCCATTTTTTTTATTAATCGCATTAGGCTGAATTCAAACCAAAAAAAAAAAAAAAAATTATCTGCCGCACTCCATTTCCAGTGTAGCATTAAATACAATTGTTTCAATATTACTATTATCTTTCCCTTTTGTCAATACATATATTAATGTCAACTACATATTCTTTTACTTCAATTTTAAATTCTTTTTCAGAGACATGTGTCATTCAATTAGCTCATTAATAAGTTTTCTGAACACGTGTCAACTTCTTATAGGTTTATTTATTTACTGAAATTTATAAAAATAAAGTGGTTATATTTGTTAAATTTACTTAATCCCATTGGTTAATTCCTGTAGACCAATTATAATCAAAATTGGTCGTACAAAATGATCGGCAAAATATATCCGAAATCTCTGGACAAAGCATAGACGGCTACTACGACTAAATTTTTGAGAGACGATGAATTTATGTTCCAAAAAGGATAATCTCCATAATTCCCTTATCTTCATAAACTGATGCCTTTCATTAGGATAATTTCCATAATTCCCTTAACTAATTGATAATTTCCTTCAATTTGAATGTGATTCTTATCACATTTCTAAAACATCCCCGAGTCAAAATCGTCATACTTCCCCGGATGAAAACATTATACTTCCCCCCTTCCCTTAAGCAAACACCTTAATTGAAGATAACTTTTCCCAAACTCACAATCAAAGGTTGAATGTGATCTTTATCTTACTGGTGGCTAAAAGCATGAAACCCTTATATTACAAAAGGCTTTTGTTTCTTTGAATATATATCCCATATGTGCAGATAATATATCAAACACACAAATAGACTCAAAATCATACATGAAATCACACACGATATCCCTAAGCACCAATAATTTTTATTTTTCCCTTGATTTCCATACCGTCAATGTCAATAATGCTCAACCTGTTAGCCAATTGAACGGCACAATTGGATGCGGATGGATGATTAACATGAAATTGTGCCGGGTATGAGACCAGCCGGCGTGGAACAACCATGACCAGGTCGAACAACGGGAAATGCTTCTTATGGACAACAAGGTATCTTTACAAAATACTATGCCTGATAGTGAATATTTTTTATGGTTTAGATAATGATGAATTGCTCCGCCGATGGAATCATTGATTGTTTGCGTGAGTTTATAATTTTTTAAATTGTGATCATCCGACTTATTGATTACTGAAATAGGGAGATCAAATCGTGAATGATGACACAACGAATCATGTGGAAATTTGTAGGGAGTGAATGATTTGGATGAAAGTGAACTATAAAAGGGAAATCTTTAAGTGGATTTTCATTATTAAAGCAAAAGCTATAATAATTACATTGACATTAAGTGTATCTTTTCATTGGTTTTAATTGGTGGATTTGAATTGCAGCAATTATCGTTCTTAGATTCTGAAACGACTCTTGTGATCTATATATACAAAAATCGCCACATGTTTATTGGTTACTTCCTTTTCTTGGATTTTGCACGATTGGTCCAATTGGACATTTTCAATTTCTACCCAAAAGTTTCCCAATTTGCACTAATTTGACCTTTTTTTTCATTTTGTAATTCAGCCCCTGGATTATCACAAGTCAGTAAATTAACCTATAAATATAAAATCCTAATCTAATTGACCTAAAAGTGAAGCATAAAGAGGTAAAATGAGTGCTTAAAAACATAGTATGATTTGCACTCATCACTTATCACCTAATTGATCTGCGCTCTGGATTTTTGTTGCTATTGATAGCCAGATTGCTATTATTCTTGATGTATTGCCGGCTGTTCATCTCTGTATCTTGCCGATTGTTTGTCAGAATTTTCTTCCAATTTTTTCCATTTGTTGCTTCTTGCCCATTGTTGCATTCAAGCACAAAGGTTTATTTTAATTTGGGGTTTGATACTATCATTTTCGTGTTAAATGATTCCAGCTGGCTTAATGCTTGATTCGTTGCAAATGCTTGGAGGATAGGAAAGATTGGATGGAGATAAAATCTTCCATGTGTACGGAAATCAAATGTGCCATGCACAACATTGATCTGTTGATACATTGCAAAGGCTAGGAGGATAGATATGTACCAACGTGGATGAAAATTTAGAAAATCAAGTGTACAGAAAATTTGTGCTTCTTTAGTGAGTAGAAATTAGTTTCTTATTACTTTGTAAATAATATGAAATTTTTTTTTTTGCACTGTGCTCATTAAGTTGGTTAGAATAATATGAATGTACTCATCATCTTATAAATCCTTTAGTCTGTGAATCATGAAATGTATGATTTTTTATCCTGCCTTTTCTCCATTGATTCTAATAAAAGAAATCTCTTCAAAAAATTATCAATCAAGTTCTAATATTAAGATAGCAATAGCTTTTTGAAAAAAAATATACTAACTAAGATAAATGTAAAATCATTTGTGAAAGTAATTGCAATATTTATTCTATTACTTGGATTTCTCTCGTGGCTAAATTTGTTTGAAATTCAGAATTCATCTAAAAAAAATTTAATTATGATTTGTAGTACCTTTGTCCGTTGGTCAATGATTTATTAAATTTAATGATGCAGTTTTGTAGTTAAAAGGATAATAAAGAAAGATGATAAAGATCAATGCTAATATTGGATTTCAGAATTTCAAAAATTTAATGATGCATTTTGTGTAGCTAAAAGGATAATAAAGAAAGATGATAAGAGCAATGGTAATATTGCATTTCAGAATTTCAAAGTATCATCTAGAGGTTGGAGTTGCGGTGTAATTTTGAATGAATCAACAAGCAAGATGGAGATATCTCAGTGTGGTAAAACAGTATGAATGAAATACTGATTAAGGTACTAGAAAGTGGATAAGTGCTAAGTTGATTTTAGAAGTTGTTTCAAACCTACTTGCTGAAAACAAGTAATTGTGATGGGATCAATTATTAGTATTCTGATCCAAGTGATTAAAATCCTTTCAAAGTTTGTCTCTTTTTTTGGGTATATTACGCACCCGATGTCTAAAGTCATTGCTCTGATTAATCCGGATTCGAGGCAGGTAGGTCCCTTTCGGGAGGCAAAGCTCTCCCAACAAGTATTTTAATCACTGTTGTATGTCTATTCCCGAGTTTCAAAGTTTGTCTCTGCTGATTTGCGTTGTTAACTCTTTTTGGCACCAAATAAAATCACTTTACTACACCTACGCAATTTATATTTATATGTTGCCAATGAACTCAAGTAAGGTTATTTACTATACTAGATTAAAATTATGCATAAAAATATATTCATCTGTTCCAAAAAAATATTCCATATTTACGATAAAAAGACTTATAATGATCATAGTTGATTAACTAATGAGTTAAAAAGATGTATATAGCCAATACCTATTTAAAAACATGTATATAGCCAATACCTAAACATAGGTGAATTTTTCACTGCAGCCTACTAGACATTTTTGAATTAGAATTCTCATTATATATAATGTAATTTTATTTAATTATATATAATATAATTTTATTTAATTTTGTTAAGTACTTATCTCTAATAATAAGTTTAATTTTTTCTTTGAACAGATTAAACAAATACAGCTTGAGTATAAAATTATTTTACTCTATGAACATTGAAATATAAGATCGACAAATGTATCAAATTAATTCTCAAACTTGCATCCATGTTTCAATAAATGCCCTTTAAAACTTATCAAAATATTTGTTTGAAATTAAAAAATAAATAAAATCAATTGTTAAGTTTGCAGAGACTATATATCTTTATAATTTAAAAGCGAACTTATGAAATTTTCATGACAATCTGGTGACATTTTGAACTTAAACATAATAACATTTTAGTTCCCTGATTTTTATTTTGTTTCATTTAATAGGAAAGTTTTGTGCATTTTTTCTTAAAATTGACTTAATTTATTTAAACAATAAAATCATAAAAACTAAATCATGTCGCTCAACGTGCGGGTATAGTACTAGTTAAGGGCAAGAAATGTATTATTTTAAAAATTAAATTATCAATCATTCATTTCTTAATACTTGTGCAAAGTGTTAGCATCCAAAACAATCTATTGGGTTTCTTCTAAACTAACCCCTCTCAAGTCAAAGATAATTTTTTCCGTTTACCACCCCCTTTCTCGCTCTTCCAATCTCGATTTTAAGTCAAAATTATTGTCTTATATGGTTATAAAGGGTAGCTTATAAAATTAAATTCTAATTGATTTAACGAAGAGAAATGGAAGATTATGAACAAAAATGCTTCACTATGTCATTTAACTTGTATTCCTACTGAAAATTGTAGTATGGAAAAAATGCTTGTAATCCCACTTAAATTCATAATCAAAAACTCATTATTAACTTGTAATCCAACTGAAACTCGTAGTATGGATTAAACATGTCATTGAAATCAATCAAATTCGTAGGTCCTCTATCATGAACAAAAATTAAAATGATTGCTGAAGAGCATTTGTGCCAATTTAACTGTTTGAGTCAAAATTATATTTGA